GCCACCGAACCTTTCGAGAAAGTCAGGGCTTAGGGCATAGGTCTCATCCTCACCTGTATATTTTAACAACAGAGGAAAGCAACTATTCAGTATCCTAGTCGTCGCGACATCGCAGTGGCCTCTGTTGCGAAGGGTTTGCAGGTGAGGTTTTGAGATCTGCAGGCTGTGGTTTCTGGTCTGGCCCGGGGGCATTCACGACATCTGAGCCAAACAGCTCATAACCGGCTGCCCTAAACCCTAAACCCTAAACCCTAAACCCTAAACCCTAAACCCTCTGGGTCCACATCTTGCAAAGCATCTTCGTGGCCTACCCCGTCAGTACCAGAAAGCCCAAATCCCTACAGCCGAACAGCAGCAGATCACGTGGGGGTTGTTCGGCAACAGATGCCTGACATTCAAAAACGCTTGCCAAGCCTTACATAAGGTGCCCGGCTTCCTGAAGAGCTTCAGGGGAACAGGATCCAGTATGAAGAGCCTAGGATGAAAACCCTAGACCCAAGACCTGAAAACCCACGACCCTGAATCCTACACTCCCTAGAACCTAAACTCGCTAAACTCCCTAAACCCGAAACCCTAACCTCCCTAAACCGCACCACAACAAAGCAAGAACATGTGTTTGGGGGTTAGGGTTTAGGGTTTGGGGCTTATAAGGCTTAGGGTTTAGGGTCCTACCATCCCCTGACATTCGACACCCTAAAACCGAAACGCTACATCCCAAACCTAAACCTTGAGCACCATGGTTTCCGCACGCAAGGGTCTATCATTGTCCACATGTACCCCTATATAACCTGAACAAAGGGAACAAAAAACAACAATTCACGGACATTTGCTTTGATGTCGCTGAACCCCAAACCGCCCCAGGTATTTTCAAAATCCAGCTGAACCCTAAGCCCTAAACCCCAAACCTACATAAAACCCTAAATTCTAAACCCTAACCCTAAACCCTAAATCCCTAAACCAGCTGAACCGGGCTTGCGGCCAAGGCCGTGGAAGCAGTCGCCCTCTGCCCCGACGGCACCAGCAGTTGACGGAGGAAGCCTCGAGGATGTAGGCGCAGAGGGTTTAGGGGGTTTAGGGTTTAGAGTTTAGGGCTTAGGGTTTAGGATGCTTGAGGGTGTACGGGGTTGAGTTTGTAGGATTTGGGGTTTAGGGTGAGGGGTTTAGCTTGTGGATTTGGGTTTTAGGGTGTAGGGTTTAGTGTATATAGCGCTCAGCATCTTAGGTCCATACAGAGTACAGCGGCACACAGAACATAACCCATCTCCGCCAGTTGGTTTCACGTCACCAGGCATGTCAACTACAGAGCCGCTTTAAACCCAAAAGCTGTTCGAGGACAAAGTTCTCTCTCGTTTGGTACTTTGAGGTTCAGCTTGTACTTACTATATTGTAGCTCTGACCCACTTACAAGCCCCTTGTAAGTACCCTAGTTGGGTTATAATTGGATTTGCAGATGTTAAAAGTACAGATATATTTGGGTTGCCAAGTACCGTGAACCTCCAAGTAAAAGGTCCAAAGCGAATTTCCTTCATCCCGCTGCAAGGGCTTGCCTTTTTCCTTATCGGTCCGCCAAGACAGGAGACCCCATCCTTCAACGGGCAAGCAGAAGGTAATCCTTGACAGTAGAGGATGGGCGGACCAAGACGCAAAAGGCAAGGGTACGTGAAGACCCCTTCCACTTGACCCCTTTGCCTTCTTTTTGATAGAAAACTTCACTTGCAGCTCTGCTTGACCTTTGATTTTTGCAAAGAACGGTTTAGGGTTTGGGGTTTGGCCCTGAGCTCTCATTTTTAGTACGGTTTCGATATTACCCTACCTATTGGGCTACTAGGCGGACGAAAGCGAAGCTTGCTAAGCCCTGTGATGAGCACCACACCCCAGCAGATCTGCGACAAGTGGGGAGGCCGGGACTCGTCCCCAAAAGGACAGTACCTGTGCAGGGACTGCCGGTGGATGTAAGGGGTTATAATACCCAAACCCTAAACCCTAAACTCAAAACCCTAAACCATTATGGCCTGGGGGCCGGGGGCCTGCGAAGCCCCAAACCCTAAAACACCCAAAACCGCCAAAACCGCTAAAACCCCTAAAACCCCCCCCAAAAAAAACCCTAAAAGCCCCACAAAACCCAAAAAAGACCTAAAACCCCCAACTCCTAAACCCAAACCCGCCTACAGATCTCCAAACCCGCCTCCCCGGCACGAAACGGGCGACCCTCAACGTCCGAGTCTACTCCAATCAAGGGGCCTGAATTCTCTTGCCAGGGCGTAATCCCTACTTTGGAGTAGAACCTGGAAAACAAAGGCGGATATGCCTTTTCGGTATACGTAGCTGTAATCGGAACCCAAAGTATAGTACTCCGAAACCCAGTTAGTGACTTGTCAACCTATAAGTCCTTCACCACGAAGGTCGAAGGGTCATAGCCCTTAGAAGACAAAATTTAGGGTTTAGGGTTTAGGGTTTAGGGTTGAAGTACAAGGCTGGCGGTTCACGATTTGAGCAGGGTTTGAGGGATGAGACACACATTCCCAGACGAACTCCTGCTTTGTAGGGTGTACAACATTGAGGGATGTGGAGTGTATGCATGAAGAGAAACCGACACGAAATCAACCGAACATGGCAGCAGAACTGGCTGGTTTACACAGAGGCTCAAGTACACCAAGAAATACCCTGAAGGTCCATGTACCTGAATTACTTAAGAAGCAGAAAGCAGCTACGGAGAAATCAGGGATGACGCGAATGTTCTTTTTGCAACTTTCTGTGTGACAGCATCCAGTATCCAATATCGAAGTGCAAGCAAAACCACCGTTTCCTACATATACGCAACGTACTCGATCTGAAATTCTGCACCCTAATGTTGGGGACTGGGCCGAACCCCACCCTGTCTTCACCCTAAACCCTAAATCAAACCCCGCAAACCCCAAACCCCCTAGACCCAAACCGCCCTAACCCCTAAACCCTAAACCCTAAGTTGAACCCCTGGTTTAAGCAGGCGGCCTCTCGATTTCCGCCAAGAGTGCTGCGACCTGCGTAGGGAGAGCTGGAGAGATTGCAGTGCGCGTTACAGGTAGGGTGTTGGGTTTGGGGTTTACAGGGTTTACAGGGTTTAGGGTTAAGGTTTAGGTCCAGGTTGATATTTGAGGCTAAGGGTTTAGGGTGTAGAGTTTAGGGTTTTGGGCTTCCGACGTGAGGCACAGGGTTTAGCATTTAGGGTTGAGGGCTTCTAGTGCAGAGTTTCGTTTAGTCTACTTGAAAGTTCATGAGTAGCAGTAACTTTGGGCAGGCGGGGTTGAGGTAACTGCAACTATTCCTGGCCCTCCTACATAGAACTCAATGCTGTAGCCACTTGACCCTAAGCCCTTCACCTGCTGATAACAATACCCCCAGCACGTGGTGGTGACGGCAACTCTGCGTTTTCCTGCTCAGCAGCCAGAGGGAGTGCTCCCTTTAACATGGGGGGGGGGGGGGGGGGGGGGGGGTTTAGGATTTTTGGGGTTTTATAACCCTAAACCCTAAACCCCTAAACCCTAAACATAGGGGCAGGGTAGCGGCGCCTCAGCTCTTCAGCGCAACCGGAATATATCTAAGTCTCTAAGGACCGTGATGCCTCGCCTTTCCAGAAATATCGAGCTGGTCAGACACCCTGAAGTCTAGATCCGAAGCGGCACACACACACACACACATTACACAAGAAAGAAAGACGAAAGCAAAGCAAAAAACAAAAAACATAGCAAAAAGCTTAACATACACAGCAAAACACACAGAACGCCATACCCAAATAGAGAAGACACCAAAAAGAAAGAACTCTTCACTTGCTGTTGTTGACAAGGATTCCTAGGCCCTCCACGAACATGTTTCAAAAATTCTGCCCCTTTTCAGCCCCATAAAGAAGAACAGGATCTATGCCAAGTAAGACTTTTTGACAGACACCCCGATACCCTAAACCCTGTCCCACCTTGTTAAGACTAAATCCTAAACTTTAGAGCCCCAAGCCTAGCTTGAGATTGAGCAGTCCGGCTCAACTACCGTCTTGCACTGGCAGCAGTTGGCCTTTGTGGCTGTAGGCTGGCAAGGTGTTCAGGGACGAACTACCGCCTTGCTTTTGCACCGAACTTAGGGTTCTGTGGTTAAGGCTTGTTACGCCTTTCCACTCGCGCGGCATATCTTCCCTGCAAACTCTACCAAACCCGAAGCCCGAACCTACCAACGTTTCAAGCCCCGATGCCCCCTGCACAAAACCCTGCAACTGGAAGATGTTAACATCTTTAAAAATTGGGGTTTAGGGTTTAGGGTGTCTTATGCAAATGCAGACCCCTAAAGGCCAGCTGCAGCTGCATGCAACACTCAGGTTACGTCCCGTTGCTGGGCTCGTGAAGGGCGTTGTCGGTCGTCCTTCGTGAAGGTTTAGGGTTTAGGGTTTAGGGTTTCGGGTTTAGGGTTAGGGCTCGGGAGCTATGGGTTCCGGATTTAGGGGTTCACGGGACTTACTGAGGTAGAATTCCGTTGAAAGTAATTGTAGGATCAAGACCTCAACGACAGAGATGGCAAGTGCCATGAACCAACAAGATCCAGTAGAGAGGCTCGTTTAAGGTTTAGGTTTAGGGTTTAGTCTGAAGTTTTACGGTTCATATAGACCCGCCAGTTGTATTTCTTCTTTCGGGGTGTGAGTACAATAAAAGAGTTTGGCACGCCAAAGAAAAGGAACCGAAATTGTGGGCTTAGGTAGGTGAGGCATGTATTCTGACCCCAGAAAGCGTGGACTTTCATGTTAGTGCTTTCCACATAATATGGTGTTGCTTTTCATATTTCAGCTCCAATTGAGTACCTGTCCCCAATAAATAGTGAGGTCGGCTCACTTGTTTTGCAAGGATTCCGCCCTAAACCCTATTCCCCAAACCCTAAACCCTAAACCCCAAACCGCAAACCCTAAACCCTAAACCCCAGACCCCAAACCCTGAACCCCAAACCCCCCACTGCACGCTCCCCTCCTGGATTCGCTCCAAGAGTCAAGACCAGGGGCCTTTACCGCCTTTCCCACGAGGTCGGAGCCTCCATGGCTTAGGATTTATAGGGGTTATAGGGTTATAGGGGTTATAGGGGTTATAGGGGTTATAGGGGTTCTAGGGGTTCTAGGGGTTATAGGGGTTGTAGGGTTCATAAGGTTTTTAGGGCTCATAGGGTTTATAGGGTTTCAAGGGCTTGTAGGGTTTGTAGTGTTTATAAGGTTTATAGGGTTCATAGGGTTTAGGGCTTTTAAGGATTAGGGTTATTTAGGATGTGGAGTTGACGCACTGGAGTTCCGAAGCACGACCCGCCAGAAGCCGTGGAGATTGAGAGTGCCAAGCCCCACTCTCTGCTGTCCCAACGCTGAGCCTTACCTCGGACGCCTCCCGAAAACCCTACGCAGCAAGCCCTAAACCCTAAGCCCTAAGCCCTAAACCCTAATCCCTAAACCCTGCCCACAATGACCGACAACCCCTCTAAACCTGAAACAAAACAGAAACAGCGACGCCGGCCAACGCATCCTGTCCTGCACAGATGGGAGGCACGCCACTCTGCCCAAAATTCTACCTTAAGAACCCCAAAACCTAACTTTTTCTAGGTAGCCCAGGACTTCTATAAAGGGCTTCAGAGCCATAACCTACAAAAAAAGGTAGGTTTAGGGGTTCTTGAGGTACGTGTTCATATACCCGGCGCCCTAAATCCGTTCACTCACCCCGGCTGGTCCAATACAGGCCTCTGCCTCAACTTGCTCGAGGGAAGATCCTGAGGACTGAACTTCAGGGTTTAGGGTTTAGGGTTTGGGGTTTGGGGTTTGAGGTTTGGGGTTTTGGGCTGAGGGTTTGGGGTTTAGGGCTTTTAGTGTTTAGGCAAAGTTTAGGCTTCTCAGGGTTCAGGGTCTCACCAAAACCCTAAACCCTAAATGGGTTTTCCACCGGCCGGTTGAGTTCAGTGCTGAACGTTGAGGACCTCAAAGCTCGTGGTTCTGCGCGTAGTGGACCACCACCATCCTCCCCCCCCCTCCCGAAAAGAAAAGGATCAAAAATAAGAACTAATAAGAATAATGATAATATTTAAAAGATTAATAAAAACAAATAATATGTGTATATATATATATTCATGTACTTATAAAAAAAACACATACAAGACTAGTAGGTTACGAAAATCATAACCTCATGCAAAAACTCGGGCAAAGTGTAACTGTATCACCTCCAAGAAAACAGGAAATTGGGGGCGAGCTTAGGAACTAGCGCTTAAATTCCTAAACCCGAAACAGTCGTGGTTCGGGTAGTGGTGTTGGGTGTCGGGATTAGAACCAGGGGCTAGGGCTTAGGGTTGCAGGGTTTAAAGATTCAAGGGTGTGGGGTTGAGGTGGGAGGTAGGGAGTGCGGGAGGGTGTACATCCAAAGCAAATCGTGTTGGGACTGGGGGCGAGAAATCACACTGGGCAAAGGGTTTATAGGGTTGTCGGGCTAAAGCCGTGCGGATATTTGCAAGATTCAGGGCTTTTGGAGCTAGAGTACAGCACGCGCTGTAGATGACATCGGCGCGGGGGGAGGGAACTTACGAAACGTAGCCTTGTCCCCCTGGTTCTTAGTAGGGAATGAGGTACTTAGGGCCCTATCCACTCTCTTAAGGGTATACATAGGGCCCTGGTTCCCTCATTCCCTACTAAGAACCAGCCGGTTGTAGGATTTCGGGCCTAAGGGCAAACCCATAACAACTAGGGCTTAGGGTTTAGGGTTTAGGGTTTAGGGTTTAGGGTTTAGGGTTTAGGGTTTAGGGTTTCACACCGTTCCAGCGCTCCTCTTCTTGAAGGCCTTTGGCGGCCAACACGTCAGCCAACTCTTGCTTCAGCTCCTCTGGGTTCAGGGTTCAGGGTTCAGGGTTCAGGGTTCAGGGCTTAGGGTTTAGGGTTCTGTGGTGTAGACCCTGGAAAAAAGTATATACTTTTCAGGTAGAAGTAGCTATAGTAGAAACCCAGAAACAAAGAAAGTATTAAAGTATAGTACTCCAAAGCCCAGACAAGGACACAGGACTTCGACGACTTCGCGCCGGGCGTGACTGCAAACGACTATCATTTGTTTATTGGATGCGTGTGCGGATCATTCCAAGTAAGGGAACACGCCCCTGCAATTCACTAGAACGCGTCGGGCCCACGCTACCCCATGCTAAAAGTGCGAGCTTCGACAGCCTACTTTGGAAACAGCAAGGGTTGGGATGTTCCCCGCTATACCGTCCTCAATAGGGATTATGATCGGGGGTACTATAATCCCTGTGAAGGACTGGTAGTATAGGGGGGAACAGCCCAACAGCAAGGGTTTTCAGACCTCTCAGCCATAAAGAAAAAAGCTCGTCATCATGCATTCCCCAAAGATACAATGGTGACGGGGCCGGCAGCCTACAGAGCGCATTTCTCACAGAGAGAGAGAGAGAGAGAGAGAGTTAGAGCCTCTAACCCACGCATCAGAACGAACCCTAAACCCTAAACCCTAAACCCTAAACCCTAAACCCTAAACCCTAAACACCCTCTGTCTCGCATCTCCTTGCGTGCACGAAGCTTGTGGATGGAAGTCTTGCTGCACCATGCTGAACACAATGTCTACTGCACCCTTCTCCCCAAACTCGGCACCCTAAAACCCCCAAAAAAATGTGCAAAAAAAGGCCCTTTTCTGGGTTTTTGGGGCTTTTTCTTGGCGTACTTTTGGGTGCACCCTAAACCCCCCCAAACCCTAAGTGCAAGGGATTTTGTTGGACCCGACTCTGATACCGCACTCCGCCGACGCATATTAGTGGTATGGCCAGAGTTTCATGAGTAGTTCTGCCTTTGGGGTGAGAAGTAGGGTATACTTACTGCTTTTATCTGCTTCATGGTTCTGCAAGTGCACGTTGCATTTTCCTCATCCATTGCACTTGTAGGTTCGTTGGCAGTTGTAACTGGGAAGCCCGATGCTCGAACACCTGAACCATGCAAACCTAAGCGTAAACCCCAAAAATCTACCCAAAAACCCGGGACAGCGAAACCTTAGACTCTAAACCCTATGAGCATGTGACCCCAAGACATCGAACCAGCACCAAATCCCACAGGCTTCCGTGCTGATGAGAGAAGGGTGCCCCTTTATTGGGGTGAAGTTTGGATCCGAATCCTACAACAAGAATCAGGGCGGCACTCGGCGTCCTAAAACACGGAAATGCTATCCCTCTGAGGCATCACGACGGTTCCCCCCGACCCGCGCGATTCAGAGCTGCTTTAAGGATTGAGGCTTCGAATTTCTCGTTTAGGGAAGATTTGCAAAGCGCTTGGGCCTGGAGGATCCTGTAGTGCCAAGAAGCTGGAATCGAGATTTCAAGGGACCCTTGTGCTATCCACATGCTTCCTGAATGCTTCGTCTGTTCTCCTTTGGCTTGTTCAGACTTACCAGTGCTTCGCAGTGGACGAGTGCATCCAAACAATTCGGGAAAGCCAGCTCTTTGAAACTTTGGAGTGTAGGGAAGGGGGGTGTGCTTGGAGGTTCATGGTACTTCGTGACCTATTTATAACTTTACTTCTAATTCCCAATTCAAGTTCTAACCTTATTAGGGTACTGAAAGGGCTGATAAGTGGGTAGCTACCCTGATAACTGGGTTAGTACCCTGAACCTCCAAGTAGGGAACGTATAAGGGGAACGGCATGACAGGGCAGAAGCTCAATTGGAGTTCTTATAACCCTACACATATAGATCTACCCAAGGGCCCGTCAAGCAGTATGCATGTTTACTCTCCCACTCCCCCTTGAGCACCAGTAAAATGAATCGCGAAGCGACCTAGCCAAAATGTTCAAACCCTAAACCCTAGACTCTAAACCCGAAACCCGAAACCCTAAACCCTAAACCCGAAACCCTAAACCCTAAACCCTAAACCCTAAACCCTAAACCCTAAACCCAAGCCCCCCGAGTCTGGTCCTCCACACGTCGGAGCAGAGACTGGGTGTACCTGGAAGACACTGGAAGATGCACCGGGCAGATAAGGGGCAGTGCGCAATCAAACTGAGGTGGCCCTTAAAACCCTCTGAGAAATAGTCCTGTAGATGATCCTCTCAAGCCCAAAAAGGGAAGATGTAAGATGTCCTAAGGGCCTACCGAATACAGGGTTTGCGGGGCTGGGATTGGATGTGAGAGTTCGTGGGTTCCGGTCTGGGTGGGGGGTGGGGGGGTGAGACTCAACGAAACTGGCGGCCAGGTACTCAGACCCGACTAAACCTTACACCTCTACAGTCACGGGTCTGTGAAAGGAGGAGTTGCACAAGCGAATAGCGCTAGATAGCATGCAGAGAGTGAGATATATAAATATACGTATACACCAAGCAGGGGATTACATGCGTAGGCCCTAAACCTCCAAACCCCTATGTCCCTACTTCCCCAATGCCCGAAGCCCCAAAAAGCCACAAAGCCCCTAAAGCCCCCAAAGCCCCAAAACCCCTAAAAACCTAAAGTCCCTAAACCCTAAGCCCTAAACCCTAAACCCCAAACCCCCCAAAACCCTTGCTGGGGCTTGGCGCTCGTCGTCGTCCCCCTCGGCCGGCGGAACCTCCTCTGGCGCACCGTCGTCCATCGGCGGCTCCAGTGCATCCTGCGGCTGCGGGGTTTAGGGTTTAGGGTTTATGAGGGTTTGGGGTTAGGGTTTAGGTTTAGGGTTTATATTGGGGTTTAGGGTTTAGGGTTTAGGGTTTAGGGTTAGGGTGTGGCTTGGGTTCAAGGTTTAGGCTTAGGGTTACTGGGCTTTGGGAGAGTGCGTAAAAAAGAGGCCTGCGGATATTCAAGGTAACCCCCCCCCCTCCCCCCCCCCCTCCCCCCCCCAACCCACCCAACAACCCCCCCTCCCCCTCCCCCTCCCCCCCCCCCCCCCCCCCCCCCAAGAAAGGGGGGGGGGGGGCCCCCCCCCCCCCATGCTCAATTCCACATTTCCTCTGCCATGTTTGGTAGGATTCCTATTGCTTTTATTCGGAATCCTTCTAATTTCAAGAGGATTTCTATTAATGTAACAAGATTTCTATTTGCCTTCTTTTTTCGTAGCATTCTAATCGGACTTCTACTAATTTTAATAGCAGTTCAATCAATTGTAATAGGAGTTGAACTTAATTCGACAAGGATTTCTATTATTTCAATACGAATCCCGTTAAACCTAATACAAATCTTATTAGAAGGGATAAAAATCTCATTCATATTATTAGAAATCTTTCAAAAGTAACAAAAACCCGATTAGAATCAAAAGAAGTCCTATTAAAACGTTAATTAAAATCAAGTGAAACCCTATTAAGAACACTGTTATTGACCAAGGGGGGCCCCCCCCCCCTTGAACAAGGGGGGGGGGGGGCCATTGAACAAGAGAGGGGGGGGGGGGGGGGGGGGGGGGGGGGCTGGCTTATGTTCCCGCAGGCCGCAGTGGCGCGCACTATCGGCTTTGGGGGCTTGGGGGTTGGGGTTTGTGAGTGGTCGAAGAGCTTGGCTGTGCAGCCCTCGGCGCCCTGCCGGCCAACGTGAGTTGAAAGCGCAGGTTGAGTTTAGGGTTTAGGGTTTAGGGTTTAGGGTTTAGGGTTTAGGGTTTAGGGTTTAGGGTTTAGGGTTTAGGGTTTAGGGTTTAGGGTTCAAGGGTTTAGGGTTTAGGGATTAGGGTTTAGGGTTTAGGGCTTAGGGTTTAGGATATCACAACAAATACACCCACCCAGCCACGCGACCACACACACACACACAGAGACACGCACTTACTTCGGGCTCTCCCAACACAAAACAAACACGAACAGAGAGACACACACACACACACACACACTGGGTGATGACGAAGACTACTGCTGTGTGTGGACGTTCCAGGGCTTGTGCATGATAAGCATGACAAGGGTGCTTTGGACTGGGGTTCACGAACAAGGGTGTCTTTTCGAGCTCGCGATGTGTACCCTCAAGAAACCTATATACCCTCTAAAAGGGCAATCCATTCCATGAGTTGGTTCAGGTACAGCTCGCGCTTAAAGTGGGGTATGTAGGTTCAGGGCCCAGGGTAGGACGAGATTCTTGGACACACCGGGATGCCCTGCGAGCGTGGCTTAGACTTGCGATTGCGGGCAGCGAATCGCATATTTCGCTGCTCGCGGACCTGACTGAACGACAACGGTGTTGTCAAACGGAGGGCCACCATCAACAAACACCCAATAGGGTTTAGGGTTTATTTAAGGCTTGAATGAACACAAACGCTTCGTGGCGGAGATATAACTTGTCGGCATGTTCGTCTGCGGGTGTCTCCGATCCCGCCACTCCGAAAACCACAACTGAACGTTCAGCATCTGCCGAGGGGAAGCTGAGACTTCTTGCGCCGGAGGGAGCTTAACCGCATGGTTTTCTGTGCATCGTCTGTGCATTGTCATTGTACATCAGTGAAACGCGAGAAGAACACTGAACGACTGCTTTTCGCAGCATCGTTCAAATTCGGCCTTCCGCCTTGAAAAGTTCTGTTCGCATCTACCGGCCCTAATCCGACCCTAGACTGCTATTTGCTTCAGAACCCCCCCCCAAAGAGTAGAACATATTCCTCATAAGGGTATGTCGGCACTATTATCTGTATTCTTGGGAGGGCCGGGGGGGGGGGGGGGGGGGGGGGGGGGGGGGGTTCTTCAGCAAATAGTAGTAGACCTACCCTTGGTAGCCCAGTAACCACATTACAATAAGGGCACCCTTGTTTGGGTTGGTCACTATATAAGGGAACCTTGAACCAAAAAGGGTGAAAAGGGTACCCCTGGGCTACCAAGTACCAATTAAGTTTAGCCATCCTTGGTGGTGAGAGTTTTCCGGATCGACGCCTTCACGTCCGTCTGCTGCTGCTTCTGCCAGACATCTCCGTCATCCCAGACCAGCTGCCCCTGCTCATCAAGCCTTTTAGGTCAAGAACGCAAACGATTGGTTCAGGGTTTAGGGTTTTCGGTTTAGGGTTTAGGACGTAGGGCTTAGGGTTTTAGGGTTTTCGGGTTTAGGGTTTAGGGTGCAGGGTTTTGTTTTTGGGGTTCAGGGTTTGGGGTTTAGGGTTGCATCAGTATCGGAAGAATCCTGTTGCCATGATCGCCGGGTCAAATTGCGTATGCTGAACAATATGAATCTTCACTGGCTCAGCACAATGTGTTGGTGTCACAGGCTGCCGAGCATCTAGACCCAAGAGAAGCCTAGGAATAAAAAGGGCGCCCTTGTTGGTTTTAAAGGGGATGATAAGAGAACCTAAACCACAAACAAAGGGGAATAAGGGCCTACTCTGGGTCCTAGCCCTAAACCCTAAACCCTAAACCCTAAACCCTAAACCCTAAACCCTAAACCCTAAACCCTAAACCCAACAAACAAGGGAACAAGGGCCGACTCCTAGTCCTAGGCAGGTACTGGGAGGTTCAAGGTTCGCGGGTGGCTCTCAGCCGGCCTTATGTTGGGTTCCCCCTAAGCCCCATGGCCCCATGGGTCCAGAGTTTCACCATAGGGTTTAGGGTTTAGGGTTTAGGGTATAGGGTATAGGGTATAGGGTTTAGGGTTTAGGGTTTAGGGTTTAGGGTTTAGGGTTTAGGGTTTAGGGTTTACCCACGAAAGCAAAAAAAAAACCTTCAACCCTAAGTCCTAATCCCTAAACCCTAAACCCTAGAACAACAAATCCTCAACCCTAAGTGCTAAACCCTAAGCCCTAAGCCCTAAACCCTAAACCCGAAACCCCACAGACCAAGAGACCAGGCTGTGAGCTGCTCGCCCTCGACTTCCACCGAGATCTTGTCCGAGCCGAGCACCGTTAGCTCCACGGGTGGCGACTTGTACCTTTTTTGGGTTTAGGGTTTGGGGTTTGGGGTGTGGGGTGTGGGGTTTGGGGTTTGGAGTGTCGGGTTTGGGGTTTAGGATTTAGGGTTTCGGGGTTGAGGGTTGAGGGCTTATCAGGGGTTTAGTAGGCCTGAAGCGTGTTAGGGCTATAGTGTTTACGGCTTTGTGGCTACACCACGGCTGCTCCCTTAATAGGGTCCCTTACCTGTTCTTAAAGCGTCGATGGATGCATCCGCTGAGCCATCCCTTCTAAACCGAAGCACACACACACACACACACCCGAACATCAGCTTGAGTGGCACAAGGAGGGGGCCCCCCAAAAAACTCATCTTATTCCAGTATATTTCCCTATATATATATACATATACATATACAGATACATGTATATATATATATATATATATATATTGTATACAGATAATTCCTACGGTCCCTTATATGCGTCCCTCCTTTCGTCCCTTGAACGAAATGCGTTTCGGGTGTAGGCCATGGAGGGCCTGGAGCTAAATCAACTTGAAGCCCGAGAGCCGAGCACACACACAACTTTCAGAGTCACCCCAAACAACCCTAAACCCTAAACCCTAAACCCTAAACCCTAAACCCTAAACCCTATGACCACACAAATGCAAGAACCCCCCACGCTTTGGAACACCCCCCCAGGCTGGCAACCCGGTAGGGAGGGTTAAGGTCAGAGGGGGGGGTTATAGTTTAGGTTTCGGGTTGGGCGCGCTCTAAAAATCTAAACCCTAAACCGCAACATATCTCCTGAAACCCTAAACCCTAAACCCTAAACCGAAAACTCTAAACCCCCCCCCCCAAAAAAAAAAAAAAAAAAAAACAACAACAACAACAACAACAACAAAGGCCTCGCTTGAGGTTTCGGATCAGAGGTGAGGGTTCAGGGTGCCAAGGTTTTGTGGGTTGGGCCAAAGCAGCTGCTTGGCCTAAACCCTAAACCCTAAACCCTAAACCCTAAACCCTAAACCCGAAACCCGAAACCCGAAACCCTAAACCCTAAACCCTAAACCCTAAACCCTAAACCCTAAACCCTAAACCCTAAACCCTATACCCTAACCCTAAACCCGAAAAGCTTAAACTGCAAACCCTGGGCACCTCTTCGCCCAGCTGATTTTGTGGGCAAAGATTGCCGCCATGAACTTCGAATCTTCGACTCGGTTCCAGTTCCCTTCCAGCCTCAGAGGCACTTCTTGCTGGTTCTGAGTAGGGTTTAGGGTTTAGGGTTTAGGGTTTAGGGTTTAGGGTTTCGGGTTTAGGGGTTAGAGGTTAGGCTTTCGGGTTTAGGGTTTGGGGTTTAGGGTTTAGGGATTGGGGGTTTGGGGTTTTGGGCTGAGGTTGGGATGTTCCCCCTCATGCGAACAGTCCTTAGTAGGGATTACCGCACCCCCTTTATAATCCCTATCCCTATTCAGGACTGTCAGTCGTGGTTCTCAGCATATTCAGGGCACTTAAGACTTAGAACCCTGCTGATAAGTACCCTTGAAGTAAACTGTAAACTCTGACCCTAAAAACCCTAAACCCTAAACCCCCCGAACTCCTAAACTTCAAGCCCTGCCAAGCAGCAGGGCTAGGAAGGGCTCGGCTTCAGGGACCATCACAGGAACGACCTGGAGTAGACGGCGTAGGTGTGTAAAGCTGTTCGGAGTTTGGGCTTAGAAAAAAAAACTAGACCCAAGAGTACCCTGCGAATAAAAACGGGCACCCGTTCTTGGCTTGACAGGGCTTATCAGGGAACCTAAACCCTAAAAAAGGAATCAGGACCTACTGTGGGTCCTAATTAGCCCTAAACCCTAAACCCTAAATCGCATAGCATTCGAAACATAAGGCCCCTTGCCGGGGACTCTGACGCCGGACCTCGGGTCTATCACGGCGGTGACACTCCAATCGTACCGCAAACTGCATGGTCAGCTCTGAACAACCGCACCCAGCTTTTTGTCTGCCACCGATCCCCACATGAGTCCTGTACTGTGAGGCGCCGATGCAAACGTCCGAAACTGCAAGCATGCACGAGCTGCTCTGCGTCTACTCCGAACGAGGCTCACTCTGGCCCTTGCCCTGCTCGTTCGGTTGTTCTGCTTGCGCTGGCAGGTCTGGGCCGGATGTGCTCCGCCAGGGACGCCGCAACTGCTGGCTTGGCCCCCTCCCCTTCCAGTCGCTTGGCCCACTCAGGCTCCATGGCGTCCAGCATCTGCATCTTGCTGAGGTCCTTGAAGCACCTCGCGGCGATCTCCATGCGCTGCTCCACTTCCTGTGGCGTGAAGGTTGGCTGGCCGTCCGAAGCTTTCTGTGCCAGGAGCGCTTGCTCCAAGGCCTGCCCCAGCTTCTGCTTCATTAGATGCAGGGACAGCTCAGCCAGGTCAACCCAAGAGGGATCGTACTTGTAAGGATACGGTATGTGGAAGTCGACCTCCCACCTACGCAGCTTCTTGCTGGCATACTCCTGCACATTGTCAATCTCACCCGAGTCCAGCTTGGTCACCACATTCTTGTACAGGCCAATACTTCTGGTAGAGCTCTTCATCAAGGCCCCTATGCTTGCCGGGAGCGGGCTGCATCAGCAGGACGTCAAAGCGATCACCTTGGTTGAGATTCAGCAATGTCCGGGTGCCCTTGTCGGAGTTGACTACGAAGATGACGCGGGCAAGCTTGGTCAGGAAGTTGGCCCAATCCAGAGCCTGCTTCGGGTACTTCTTGAGAAGCTCTGCATATTGGTCCACGAGGATGATGGCTGGTTTCGGTGTCACTGGAGGCTTGAGGAGCTGTTAACAGCGACCTGAGCCACTGGCTCTCACGGTACTGTCGCAGCATCATCTTCAATTCTCCACCGGCCGTTGTTGTCAGGCCGGAGAGCTCGGTCGTTTGCCCTTGAGCGAAGGTTTCTGCGCCCGTTCCGGCCTCGCCATTTAGGTACAGCCCAGAATAGGCCGAGGGTCCAAACCGGCGCCACCATGGCAACGATGTCCGCAGCAACGTTGTCTTGCCATCCTTGTTGCGGCCTTGCAGGATCAGGGCTCTGTTGCTGTTCAACGCTGCGTACGGCCGACAGTCTATCGGCAAGACCGGAGCATCCGGGAGTTCGATGACCTTCCGGAGAAACGGGCCCAGGCGCCCTATTGGCCTTGCCAACGGATGCGCCGCCCACTTGTACACGGTTCCACCACCAGCCACCAAAGAAGCCACTCCAACAAACAGCGCGGCAGCATTTATTGCCGAATCGTAAGAGGCTTTGAAGGCTTTCCAACTTGCCCAGCTAGTGTCGCCATTGCTCTCCTAGGTCATTACCCCAATACACTACTACACGACAAACATTCGCTCGAACAAAGCACCTTCAAAAGCAGACACTGAAAAGCAAACACTAAACCCTAAACCCTAAACCCAAAGCCCTAAACCCTAAACCAGAATAGGTTGAAGGTCTAGGGGCTGCTAAGGCTCCATCCCATCCAAAGTCCCAACTCTCGCAATGCCCGGACAGAAACAAAAGGCCCCAAATCCCACCGAAACCTAAGCACAACAGTAGAACCCTAAGGGCGGTAAGGGTCCATGTACCTAAAAGTGAAATGCTCGGGCCGCAAAGTGCTTCCTGTATAGGGACTTTGGGGCCCAAGCATATAATCACAGGTACATGCACCCTCAGGGGAAGAAAACCTTAAACACCGCAAAATGAAAACCGTCAAGTGAACAACAAGCAACTCTATACCCCAAGGTTTAGGGTTTAGGGTTTAGGGTTCAGGGTTTAGGGTTTAGGGTTTAGGTCTTTGTGTAATCTGCACCTCGCTCGTGGCGGTTGCGGCTGTCACCACTGCCTCCCCAGACCCCTCTGCAGCTCCTTAGAAGCTTCAAGGGGGTTTAGGGTTTAGGGTTTAGGGTTTAGGGTTTAGGGTTGAGGGTTGAGGGTTTAGGGCTTAGGGCTTCAGGCTCAGGGCTTATAGGGATTTAGGGTTTAGGCTTTAGGGTTTAGGGCTTAAGGTTCAGGGCTTATAGGGGCTGAGGTAGCGTTTGGGGTGTACTCGGTCTTGGGTTTAGGGCTTAGGGTTTCAGGCTTGTGTTTCTGCGAGTCAGGCTTCGGCATTCAGGATTTCTTGAGCGCTTGAGGGCTTGGGGTTTCGGGCTTCAGGTACAGCGTGTCAAAGGGCGCGAGAGGCGGGAAGGTTCCACTTGCATATCAAAGGAGCGATTGACACAGCATATCTGCCACATTCCATCGGCAGCGGCACGCGGCCAGGGTGCAAGGCTAAACAGTCTCAAAATCAAAAGCAAGGCTATCAACAGTCTCAAAAGCAGGCCGTAGGATTCCTGAGACTCTAGACTCTGGACTCCTGAATCTATAGACTCTAGGCTTCAGCCACCCAATCTTGAAACTTCAGAGGATTTGAAGACAACTGCCCGTACCTACCCAAGCTACGATGAACACATTCATTGGGCCTTCCTCCATGTAACCTTGAAGGGACATGGTGCCGGCGTCGGACACAACGAAAGTAGTGATGTGGGTGGTTGTCGAAATTATAGTCCCTTTTGGGGTACCCTAAATGTTAAGTGACGTATTATAATAGGGATCCAAGAAGGCACCATAATTTTGACAACCACCCATATAAGAGCCCTTTAAACTTGAAAGGGCAAAGGATGGACCCTTGTCAGGGACCCTACAGCGTATGTGGGGCTTCTTCGGGATAAGGGTTATGTAGGGCAGCAGGATTAGGGGCTTCCTTGTCGTCCCTTATACGATCCCCTAATAGGGCCCTCAATTGGGTTAAAAGGATCCGAACTTAGGTTAGAATTCCCTTCACGGCAGCTAGCCTTTGGATCAGGGCCATGAATTCCCTTTTCACTCCAGACTTCTTACTTACTATGAGTTTTTGTTCTACCATCCCTGCCGCGAATCCTTAGGGCACCCTACGCAAGACGCTTGGGATTTCGCCTTCAGGATTCAGCTCTGTGGGTCCGTGTACCTATATAGTACATACTTGGGCCCTAAAGCTACTTTATGGGAATCCCTTTTGAGGCCCTAAACCCTAAACCCTAAACCCTAAACCCTAAACCCTAAACCCTAAACCCCAAACCCTAAACCCTAAAATCATAAAGGTGCATGGACCCTCAGGACTCAGTGGCTTTAGAGGGGCAACGGCTGACCCTTCACCGGTGAGCTTCAACTTTTACGTCGTGTGGAATCGGTAGATTCGAGCCGCAGGCCCCAAACTCTTGGGGTTTAGGGTTTAGGGTTTAGGGTTTAGGGTTTAGGGTTTAGGGTTTAGGGTTTAGGGTTTAGGGTTTAGCGTTCAGGGTTTAGGGTTCAGGGTTTAAGGGTTTAGCTAACCTGAATACCCCAAAACCCTAAGAGCCTGAAAGACTTCTCCATTTGGGGCATGACGTGCAACCACAACTGGTTGAGAACAGTCCTCCTCAGGGAGAACGTCCGCCAAGTAGGGATCTTCAGCCTTGTTCATGTTGCTGCATGGGTTTAGGGTTTTTAGGGTTTATAGTTTTTTTGTTTTTTGTTTAAGGGTGTTTAGGGTTGATAGGGTTTGGGCTTAGGGGTTGAACATTCTAGGGTTGAGGGTTTAGGAAAAATGAAGGCACCCCCCCACCAGTATAACCTAAATCCTAGACCTTAAGCCCGAAACCAAAGTAGGAAGGGGATGATATTGGATTTTATACATAATTGCAAAGGGAAGAATACAACCCAACAAGGCACCGCTTTGGGGGGTGTACACCCTAAAACCCGAAACCCGAAACCCTAAACCAACCCTAAACCGTGGGGGGGGGGGGGTGGGGGGGTGGGGGGGAGAACGGGGGCACAGAAACCGTCGGCAGTAACAATTTTCGGCGCACCGCAGGTGTCTACATGGAGTTTACGAAAATAAGGAGCCCCAAATAGCCCCCAAATGGTAGGATTCCCTTCTCCTAAGGACCCCCATAAGGTAGCCCTAATATCCCTAAACCCTAAACCCTAAACTCTAATAATAAGGTACCCCAAATTTCGGAAACCCGCACAATACTTGCCGAGTCCAGACAGGCCACAGCTTCCTCGAGCGGCTCATCGGGCATGTCCTGTGCCTCCTTTTTACCAGGGTTTAGGGTTTAGGGTTTAGGGTTTATGGTTTAGGGCTTAGGGCTTGCGCAAGCCTTAAACATCCAAACCCGCTCAGCCCCCTTCAACCACAGAAAACATCCACATGTCCAACCATTGCTACAAGCCCGGAATACCCACTGCTCATGAATTAAAAAGAATGGAGGCTCCTCAACTTCGCACCCTGAAACCCTAAGCCCTAAGCCCTAAACCCTAAACCCTACACCCTAAAATTGACTAGGGATTCGAGGTGTCCGGATTCCAGGGTTTTTGAGGGCCTGGGTTTCGGCCTAGCCCTACTAAAACCGTAATAACCTCCCCAATAGCCCTCGAGTCCGACAACTTTTCAGCCTTAAGCCTATCATAAATGCATTGGGAGCTTCAGTGCCCTGAAACGTAACAATTGGGGACTCAATGGGTTCAAAACTTCCAAAAACCCTAAACCCTAAACCCTAAAAGCTAAACCCTAAACCCTAAACCCTAAACCCTGAACCCTAAAGCGTCCTCTTCTATGCCTTCAGCTGCAAGGACAGCGTCAAGCTTGGCAGTGTCCTCATGTGAGCAGGGTCAGGGTTTTCGCCTAACGGAACGCTAAAACACCGAAACCCATAAGCCCTGCCTACCTAAACCCTACCTAAATCCTACCTATAATTCCTACCTAAACCCTACCTAAACTCTGCCTAAACCCTACCTAAAAGCTGAACCAACATCAGGGTGGAGGGTTGGGGCTGGGTGTTGACGTTCGTGGTTGTTCTCAACTATGGTGCCCCCCTTTACGCAGACCTTTTCTGCAGGTCTTATGGTAAGGTGTCGAACGCTTAGGGCTAGTCGCAGAAGCACGGGGCTCCGTTGAACAAAAGGACGCCGTAAGAGCGCTACGCACAAAATTATTTGAGATACTCTGGGGTTGGCCACTCCAGGGACACTCTGGGGCTGGGCAATCCGGGGACAATCTGGGGTTGGGCTCCCGGTTGGGCACTTCAGGCAGACTCTGCAGCTGGGCACTCCGGGGACACTCTGGCGTTGGGGACTCCAGGAGACTCTGGGGTTGGGCACTCCAGGGACACTTTGGGGAGGGGCACTCCAGGGATGAGCGAGGAATAGACCGGGCGAGGAGAAGAGCTCCGGGCGAGGAGAAGGAACTCTAAACCCTGAACCCTAGACTAGGCTCAACCCTGAACCTAAACTCAAAACCCTAAACCCTAAACCCTAAACCCTAAACCCTGAACCCTGAACCCTGAACCCTGAACCCTGAACCACATCATCTGGGCTTCATCTGGGATGGGCCCATCGAAGCCCTGCTGCCGCACCCAGTACCTCAGAAGCTTTCCACAGAAACAGCTATGCCTGCAAGCTCTCAGCAGCGTTCACAACCTCAAGAACCCTAAACCCTAAACCCTAAACCCTAAACCCTAAACCCTAAACCCTAAACCCTAAACCCTAAACCCTAAACCCTCATGCGCATTCTAACGCGCAGGACCCATGAAGGCAGACTTCTTTCAATGCATGATGTAGGAGCCTGAATAATTATAACAGGGTTTTGGAGGGGGTTCCTATAGAATCATTATACAGGGGCCATAAGGGAACACTGTTAGTAACGATTCCGACCCCTAAACCCTAAACCCTAAACCCTAAACCCTAAACCCTATATTAGCTTCTCTTGTTCCCAGTCTTTTACGGACATGCTACCGCGGAACCATGGCACTCTTCAAGCCTATCAGGCCGACCTGCACAGGGTTTAGGGTTTAGGGTTTAGGGTTTAGGGTTTAGGGTTTAGGGTTTAGGGTTTAGGGTTTAGGGTTTAGGGTTTAGGGTACACGGGAGACAAGGTCGTGCCTAGGCTCGGTACTGGGAAGTTCAGGGTAACTAGTAGCCAATTAAAACCCTTTGTAGCCCAGTAACCATAGTACAATAAGGGCACCTTTTTTGGGTTGGTTATTTTAAACAGGAACCCACAACCAAAAAAAAAAGGTAAAGGGTACCACTGGGCTCCCAAGAATTCAGGGTTATTATTCTAGGTGATAAGCGCAGTTACAATGGAGATACTAAGTACCATGAACCTCCAAGTAGCGAAACCCTTGAACACTTGCTCCTCGAGCTCTCGCAGGCTCAGCTTTGTGCCCTCAACGGCGGGGGGGGGGGGGGGGGGAGCACTCAAAAAGCTAAGAGCACGCCGAGCAACTTTCCACCACCAACATCCACGATGTCGAAATGCGGCTTGAGCTGCGTCTTCCTTTGCTCGAAGGCCGCAATTTCTGAGATTCGGGTTTCGGATTCCTTCCCTTAACTAGGTTACTATGAGACTTGCGGGGACGAAAGGAGTGGGTCACTACAGTTAGACTATACATACTGTAGTTGAGGGCATTATAACCTGAGCAAGGATCCTTTTAACCCAGTTTAGGGCCCGCAAAAACCTACATATCACTAGTGGGTAGGGTTTTTGGGGTCAGGGTTTAGGATTTTAGGGGCGTTTAGGGGCATTGAGGCTAGACCCAGGAGTAACCTAGGAATAAAAAAGGTACCTTTTTGGTTTTTAAGGGGAGTATAAGGGAACCCCAACCCTACAAGGAAACAAGGGCCTTCTCCGGGTCGTAGCCCTAAACCCTAAACCCTACTGTAAACCCGTTGTAGGGACTCTTGAGAGTTGTTAGCCTGGGAATGGTGCTTCTTGAGATTGGCCCTGGGTCGGAGAGGCGGCTTGCGGCAAAATTCTGAACACTGGGTTTAGGGTTTAGGGCTAGGGTTTAGGGTTTAGGGTTTAGGGTTTAGGGTTTAGGGTTTAGGGTTTAGGGTTTAGGGTTTAGGGTTTAGGGTTTAGGGTTTAGGGTTTAGGGTTTAGGGTTTAGGGTTTAGGGTTCAGGGCTTAGGGTTCAGGGCTTAGTGTTCCGGGCTTAAGTGTAGATGCAGCAACACCCATCTCCCTTGCTTCTAGCTGCCGAGGCACTTGACACCATTGAAATGTGCTCCAATTTGGCCTACACGGGGGATGGGGGGGGAGGGCGTCAATCTTGGATAATATCGAAGGTACACAAAATGCGCCGTGTGCATAACCGCTCATATCTACACACGTAGAAATACAAGTGCAATATGAACATATATATATATATATATAAACGATGTAACTAGCACGTATATATGTAGACGGAACCATCATGGATACCTAAAAGCAATTCGGGTCATTTATGACTGGGAAGAACTGGTAAAACTGCTCTCCTGCAAACAGAGGCTGGAACACGCAGGAGCATGCCGATGCGCACCACGACCCCAAGTACCCTGTAAGATAACTAATTAAGTATATCCCCGAACCCTAAACCCTAAATGCTAAACCCCAAACCCTGAACCCTTATATGAGTATACCCAGTACGGTACACTGCAAACTCAAGACCTTGCCAGAGAGTACTTGGGAAGTGCATGCCACCCTCGCCCAAAAAAGAACCTCAACAATCCAAAACTCCCAGAAGTTCGCACCATTGTTGGCAGCCGAATCGCCCTAAACCCTAAACCCTAAACCCTAAACCCTAAACCCTAAACCCTGAAGTCCGAACCCTGAGAGGCCATAAATAGTGATTAAACTGTATACCCTAAGCTCCCAAAACCACAGCTCAACCCTCA